TGAAAAGATAGAGAAGAACTTAAGTTTGACTTAATTTTGAGGAACTCATGTTGACAGAAGAAATAGAGCCTAAGAAGATCTAGTAATTGCAGAGAAAACAGTGCAACCTAGTTGCAGAAAAACATTAAAAAAATGTGTATGTTTAACAAGAAGGGCAGTGTGATGTGGTGAAGAGAAAAAAGGTTTTAGAGACAACAGACCCTAGTTTTAATTCCAAATCTGCCATTAAATAACCTACCTAATTTTCTGGTACCTCGCTCTCCTAATCTCAAAATGGTGTAACGGGGAGTGGTGGTGTGCATGTTCTAAAATCTAAGTCAAGGACTGGGGGCATAGCTCAAGTAGTAGAGCACTTGCCTAAGTAAGCAGGAGGCCCTGTGTTCAATCCCCAGCTCCTAAGGAGGCCCTGTGTTCAATCCCCAGCTCCTAAGGACAAACAAACAAAAATCTGAGTCAAAAGTTTATCTTCAAACTGTACGAGGTGATTCTGTAATTGTCAGAATGACTTAACACCTTGTTTGCCTAAATGCCCAGTTGTACTCCCTTAACAGTGTTTGCTTAAAACATGTGAGGTTTTCTCACTATTTCAATAACACAGTGCTAATTCCCAACGTTTCTTAAGTAATTCATACTGTACAGTTTTTAATTGATTATGTTATTCATCTGACACATCAGTGACCCTCATCTGCCACTTGAGCAGCACCTCCAGTCCCCATTACACCAGGCTGGGCTTGAACCCTGGACTCAAAAATGATCCTCCTTGCTCAGCATGCCTGGCTATGATCTTCACTGCAGAAAAGATTTTTATCCATACAGAGAAGAGTCTCTTTAGGTGTGTTTTGACCATTTTTAATGTTAGCCAAATCCCCTTCTTTAGAACATAGGCTCTCATGGTAATGAGCAGAACTAGTACTTAGTGAACAGTCTGGCTCTGCCAGTTAAGGTGCTGCTCACTGTTAACGCAGGTTCCTCCCTTTGTCACCACAGGTGCATTTCTGAAAATTTCCTTAGAACCCTACTTGAAAGGGAAGAGAAATCTTCCACTGTGCTGTCTGTATCTAGAGAAGGCAAGTCTACAAGTGCCAGTATGCCTGATCCACAGACATGACATGAAGATTTGAGGGGTGGGAAGATCTGGAAGATCATGTTTGCTAGGCAAGCACTCTACACCTGAGCCATACCCCCAGCCCAACTTACATGAACTTATATTTAAATAAAGGAATGAATGAAGCATACATACCTGATAAAGTAAATGCAATAAACAGTAAAATGCTGTTTTATCAGTCCTGCAAAAATTTTTTTTTCTTTTTGAGACAGAGCTTTGCTCCATATGTAACACAGGCTAGCCTTAAATTCATGACCCTTCTTCCTCAACCTCCCAAGTGCCAGGACTATGAACTTTCATGAAAAGAAAAATTAGTTTTGTTAGTGCTCCTATCAAAGTGTGGTCCATGCACATTAGGACTCTGCACTGTGATTTGGTAAGAAGCACACTGAATTGAAAATTCTGGAATTGGCTTTGATACTCACCACACGGCCTGAAGTCACTCAAAGGCAGTACAACTACCCAGTATCCCACAGAGTGGACCTTCCTCCCTCACCTCCCTATGGTAATTCCTAAATTTTGTTTCCACTAGTGCTTAGTGGTGCTTAGCCCTCCTCTCACACCTCCAGATTGTTCCCACTGCTTGCCATCTCCTGGAGACCTCCCTTCAACAATCAGTTGTGTGCCCTGCTCAGAGATACCTATCCAGGATCCCCTCCATAACTTTTTGTTTTTTAGCTGTACTGGAGAGTCTGAACCTAAGTTCAGCCCTTTTTTGTGCTGAGTATTTTCGAGATTTCAAGATAGGGTCTCCAAACTATTTGCTGGAGCTGGCATCAAAATGCAATTCTCCTGATCTCTTCCTCCTGAGTAGCTAGGATTATAATGTGAGCCACTGTGCCCAGCCAGGATCCCCTCCATTTGAAGATACCTGTCCAGTATCCCCAGCAGTAGTGATTTGTTTTTCTGTCCCTCGACCCTTACATTCATCACAGTGTAAGAATACAAGATAGTTCTCATTTCTGTGTGCTGATGGTGTCACACTCATGCTTTATATCTGCAAGTTACTCCATTTCATGTCGTCCTCAGAAACATCCTGCAAACCCCAAACCTCGTACTGTTGTTACCTTGGTTTCATCAATGAGGACAGCAGCAGCTTGCCGAAAGTCACTCAAGCACTAATTATTACAAATTATCACTCTAATTAGTAATAATTAGTAGGACAGGGATTCAAAGCCAGATCTCTGACTCCTAAGCCATTTTGCTGCCTTTGGTGGGGAACTTGAAACATACCTTTGTAGCCTTAGGAAAAAGTACAACACCTGGCATGCTGTTTGGGGAACAGAAAAGGCAGAGAGCGAATCTCTTCACTGAGTCGCTCACTGTGCTGTGCAGGACCTGGAGATACAAAAGACTGGCAGGTCTCTATCCACGAGGAGCCTGTAATGGGTGCTGGGGGAGTAACAAGTCACAGATGACAGTGCAGGTCAGTGCTGCTCACTGGACAGTTGCTGAGTATGCAGAATGGAGAAGAAGACAAGAAAGATGCCTTGAAATCAGACTTTCTGCTTTTCCCTTTGAAGCCAAAATTGAGCAGGGTCCTTTCTACTCTACTTACATTCTATTCTTTAACATGGCAAGAATTAATGTCATTATAAATTAGGTTATCTCTATATTCTTAGTTTGTGTTTATTTTAAGTTGTGTTTATTTCAAGTTACTTAGTTTCCTAGTTCAAATAAATATCTTCTAAAAACACATTTTAAAGGATGTGCTTTCTAAATATACTAAATTTATAGGACCCTACATATTTTTCTCCCCACACAGATATAAAGGGAAAAACAGAGGAAAAAAAAAAAAAAAGCTACCAGTTACATAACTGGCTCGTGTTAGAAGTGCTGCAACAAAACCACACACAAGTCAGGATTTTTTATTAGTGTATGTTAACTGTATAAAATAGTGGGTTCCATTATTTTTTTCTAACTCAGGAGAACAAAGGGCTAAAACTCATTGCATTTTAAGCAAACACTCCAAGGAGAAAATAAAAAAGAATCTACCAGCCAGGTGCCGGTGGCTCATGCCTGTAATCCTAGCTACTCAGGAAGCAGAGATTAGGAGGATTTCGGTTCAAAGTCAGCCTGGGCTAATAGTTCAAGAGACCCTATCTTGAAAAATTCCATCACAAGATGTAGGCTCAAGGTGTAGGCCATGAGTTCAAACTCCAGCACCACAAAAATAAATAAGTTATCTACCAAGAGCATCTTATTTCTAGGCTAAAAAACTTTCAGATTTTTCCTATATACATTTTCCTCCTTCCCCCCTCTTTAACTTAATCCTATAACAAAGGTAGGTAGATATGTAGGTTGTTCACTGCCAAACACCTTATACAAGTGGTTACTTTCTGGGCCCTTATGGAAAACACCAAATAAAAAAGTCTTATTAAATTCAAATTACATTGTATCTGCCACTTCTTCCTTGTTCAAAGCAATTATTGTGGAAGAAAATAAGTGAAGCCTAATGTCACATTATAAAGTTGGGTTCTAACAACATTTTTATGACTTTTCTAGGTGGTTGCTAATAGATAAATATTTGACTGTGGTGTGTTCTAACCTGGAGAAAGCAATTTTCTCTAGACATAAAGGGACTAGTAAAGAAGAAATAATATGAGAGGTGGTAGAGAAAGGAAATGTCAAAAAGAGAAGAGAGATGAGGTATGGCTGGACTTTGCTTGCATTTTGTAAAATAAATGAAGTAGAGACCAGACTAATGGGATTACAATCTAGGAAACTAAGAAAGGTCAGCTTCAAGCACAAAGAGGCCTGACAGAGAATCTAACTCCTTTGAGCTGAAGTCATACAGAATCAGGTTCAAGTTCAAAGTAGGTTAAACTTGCTTTCAGCTTCTTATCACCCTGACTGTTTAGCAAAATGAGAAAAAAAAAATGTAGTGGACAAAGAGTTACATAAAACCTTTTTTCTTATCATCCCCTAATAAATTCTCTGAAGGAAAAAAAATAAAGGAACATTTTTCTTAATAGTCTATATCTCAAATAAGCTGAAGTTCTTAAAGGGTCTCTAAAGCCTGGTAAAAACCATAGCTATTAACAGCTGTATGCAGAGAGGAAGAGTTACAGCATTACCTGCTATACAGAAACACTAGAATCAGGAGATCATGGGATGAAGAGGAATTTTGAGTTTCCCTTAAGTGTTAGTCGTAGACTAGAGACGTTGATGACAATTTTCATATTTTTAAAAACAAAACTATGACCATATTTAATACCTGAATACTAACTAAGATTTTCATTGCATGCTTAAAAATTCAGAACCACAGTTCCCCTAGAAAATGTAACTGTTACCATTTAGAGAAAATGGTGAGAAGCACACTCATCAAATAATTTTATTAAACCTGATGATATGCTAGTCACCACAGTGACTTTTGTTCTTCATTAGAGAATTCTTAAGACTATTTAGTACTGAATTACTGAGTAGCTGGTAAACTGAGGCAAAATTCTGAACAAGCTGTGAAGTCACACATGCAAAGTCCACAGTACAAAACTACTGAATCACGATCCCCTCTTTACATCATACTACATAAACTGCTAAGTTTAAATGTCACTTGGTACTTGGCTTTGGAATCTTTTCTACAAATAATCTAAATTGTGAGCAAAAAGTGCATGGTGTAAGTTCTGCATGAATTGATTTTTATTGTGCCTCTCTTGCTTGAAAACTCTTCTTACACTGCCACTGATTCAATTTCACCTGTTGGCAATGAACACAGAACTCTTTGTGGGGGGAAAACAAACCAGGGCGTGAAAAGAGAAAGAGCAGGTATCAGATCTACAAGGGAGTAAGACAAACTACTGAAAGCACTTCGTAAGGAGGCAGTCTCAACTCTGGTCTTAGTCCCTTTCTCCCACACTGCTCCACAGGGTCCCAAGCTCCCAGGCTGAAGACTCACCTGGTTCATCCGAATCCTGAATCCTAGCTCTGACTGCTGTTGCACTGGGCTCTTGGGGGACCGAAGGTACCGCCCCCTCCTCTGGGTCTTCCACCTTGGTCACGGTGAAGTGTGGCATAGTAGCAGTTCAGATTTCCTCCTTGTCTTCTCCCTGCCTACCTGAGGATGTCTGCCCTTCAGCTCAGACCACTGCCTGCCTGCCGAGCAGAGGCTGGGAACCGGGAAGTAATGGGGCCACGTGACCTACAGCCCAGAGCAGGCCTTGAAGACACGCCTTCCAGTGTTTATCGCTGGCTGGAGGGATTAGGCACCCGCCCCTGCTTGTGGTTGTGAACCTCAACAACTCTAACAACTGTCCAGGCTGTTTTCCACAGCTGCCAAGGCAGGAGCTGCATAGACTCCATCATGTGCTTAAACCCTGGCCATCTCCAAGTGCACACCATCATCTCAACCTCTGCCCTCCCTCTTCACTCCAGAAAGCTCAGGGAACAGTTCAGTATGCAAGCTACCCTCCTTAGAGAAAACAAAAGATAGGCTATGTGTCAGACTGCTGAAAAAAATGTTACATAAATCATTATGGAGGTTTTTTCTTATCCTTCAGGGAGAAGCATTTAGCAAATATTTAATGACATTTATGTACTTTGTACAAGACCAGTTCTGGACACTCTTCAATGACATCGGAGAAGTAAAATTAACTTTCTTAAAAGTTCAAGTTTGTTTAAAAGAGCAGACTTTTAAAGGGAGGTGTTTAGAACTTTTTGTGTTGTACAAGAAGCTTAAATTTCATGTTTAAAGGGGAAAAAAACCTAAGGAAATCCCTTAAGAGGTATATAGTTCCTTCAGCACACACTTAAATAACATATTTAACTCTTGATATACTCTGTACTCTGCCAGGAAGATGAGTAAATTAAGGCTTGTGTTAATTTCCACATTGGCTTCCTTGTTAGGAGTGTCTTCCACCTGGCAAGTAAGGCCGTGCTAACTGTATTCAACAAAGAATGATGGTTTGTAATCCTCACTCAGAGATCCCACTTCTAAGAGGAGGAATGCAACAGCTGTCAAAGACCAACTTTGTGTTCCACATCACAGCACTGCATTTTACATCTCAATCCATTTAGTTAATTACAGAAACACTCAGCTAAGGACCTTGGCCCGAAGTCTCAGAGCCTGTGAATGGTTGAAGCTAATAAAACTTCTAATGCCCTTGTGGTAGGCACCATAGACTATGTTTAAAAGAAAGCCACTCTTCCCTAATTTTATTTCAGATGTTCCTAGTAGCAGTGGTTTGTAGTCTTGACTGCACATTGGAATCACCTGGGGAGCTTTTAAAACGACTTACCCGTGGGTCCCCTCTCAGTTATTCTGATTTAATTGCTTTCGAATAGAGCCAAGACCACAAGACTTGAAAGCGCTTTCAGATGGTTCTATTGTGCAACCAAGGTTTTGAGAATTACTATTGTATAGGAAAGAGTTTATCATCTGAGAAGTCTTTGTCACTGTTTCTGTCTTTGAAATAAACTAAGGAGTGGATACAGCCCTTGGTGATTTGTTCATATTTGTAAGTCACACAGCTACTAAGTACTACTAGTTTATTCGAAGAAACTTAAATGAACAAGCTGTCAAAGATTTCAATATTATATTGAGGGTCCAAAGTTTATTAATACTTTAGCACCACTAGATATTTTCAGTTGGATCTTGCCTTCCACATTTATTTTATAAATAAATTTATAAATACACTTTATAGAGAGTTGAACTGTGGATTATTTATTGTGGTTGATGGACGGAAACAATGACTTCTGTGTTTATAAATCTGTGTATAGCTTGCTTGCATAAGCCTATATACAAATGTTATTTGGTTACCTTTTCCCTCTAAAGACTCATCAACCTAAACAACTAGAAATGTGAAAAATTCCTGTTAATCTATGTTAGGAGTAACTTATTTACCAATGTGATACCACTGTGGTCAGCAATTTTATAACAGTTCTCTCCTACGGTGAACTGCAGATAAAAGTGCAAGGACATAAGAAATTGAAGGCCAAATTAAAGTAATACAGAAAAAACCAAGCTATGTGCAAGATGAGTATGGGGAGTAATTAGATAAAGAATATGAAATATAAGAAATACTTGTAAGTACAATACACTCAAAATAAAATGCCACTATGCCCCCACCAAGATGATAAAAATTAGAAAGGCTGACAACACCAAATTAACCCCAAATGTGGAACAAAAGGAACTTTTGTACATTGTTATTGGAGTTGTGAAATTGGTGCTACTACTGGAAAAGGGTCTGGCACTTTCCTATAACCCAGCAATCCCACGCCTAAGTATGTAATCCTAAAAATGAAAACATTCCCACAGAAGGACTTGTACAAAAACATTCTTATCAGCATATTCATAACATCCCCAAACTGGAAACATTCTAGGTGTATGTCCACAAAAGAATGGATGGACAAAGTGTGAACAAAGAGTTCCTGTTCAGCAATAGTTCAGGAATGAACTATTGATACACAAAATATGGATGTCAAAAATTTTATGTTATCTGAAAGAAGCTGTAACCAAACTAATCTACGGTGCAAAAAATAAATAAATAAAAAAAATGAGGACAGTGGTTGCTTCTGGGGGAATGGAGGTGGGGATTAACTGGGGCCAGGCAGGAGAGCACTTCCTGGAAAGATGGTAATAGGGTACCTCTTGATAGGGTTTAGTGTCCATATAGGCATGCATTTGTCAAACTCAAGTCAGTGTTCACTTGGAATTTCTGCTTGTCATTCTGTAAGTTTACCTCAAAAGAAAAAGGAGCTGCAAACAGAGTCTAAATTCTAATTAATAATACATATTTAAAAGTATTTTAGGGAAAGTAAACTGATGTCTACAATTTACCTTGAAATACATTAAAATAGGATACATGGATATATGAAAAGTCTAACAAACTGTTAATGACAGATTCTAGGTAGTTGGTGTACAAATATTCACTATAAGCTTTCTGTATGTTTGAAAATTGTCATATGTTGGAAAAATACAACAAACTGACACAATTATGAAAATGAATGGGCAAGTCAGAGATTGGGAGAAAAATATCCAAAAAACATACTTGACCAGTCCTTACATGTAGAATATATAAAACCCCCCTAAAACTCAACAGTAAGAATACTACTGGATACAAAATGGGAAACGATCTATGATAACTAACAAGTACTTGAGAAAGTGCTCCACATGACTGGCCATCAGGAAAGTACCAATTAAAACCACAACTTAAAAGACTTGCAAAAAATGTAGAGCAGACATCAGTGGAAGTGTAAGATGGCATGACCACCTTGTAAAAGTTCTGGCAATTTTTATAAATCTAAAACATGCACCTACCCTGCCCAGCAATTCTTCTCTGTATTTTCTAATGAAGAGAAATAAAAGCATAAGTCTACAAAAGAAAATTCAAACAAGTATATACATAAAGCTGATTTATTCATAACAGCCCCAACAGGAAACAGCCCAGGTATTTATGGATAGGATAAACAACCTAAAGAACATTCAGACAATGGACTGTTATTCAATAATAAACAGAACTAACCACTGCTATATCCAGCACCACAGATGAGTCTCAAAACCAGTACACACTGTAAGTTACAAGTAACCTTAATCACACGCATACTGAGTGGAGGGTAAAATATGCTCATGTCTGCAACTTACTCAGAAATGCTTCAAAAACAGATTAATGGAGGCATAAATAGTGACAAAACACAGCAAAATGCTAACTGTAGCAGATAGGAGTGCAGGTTAATGAACGTTAACTATACAATTATTTCAAATTTTCTGTACATTTGAAAAGTTTCATAATAATATGTAAGAAACACAAAGGCAATGAAATTCACTGAAGTCTAAAGCACTCCAGCATAGGAAAGTCACTTCAGGATCAAAGTCCATTTCACATGAAAGTCAGGAGTTGTGAAATGTTCTTCTTGTACTTTGATAGAGTCTTGAGTGCTGTGAAAGTCATAATGCAGGTTTGAAATATTTACACTGCCACATTTAAAAAAATGTATGGTACTTAAAAATAGTAAGATACCAAGGATGGGCCAAGGCAAAAGGGCATTTAGAATGGCACTGCTCCCACAGTGTTGTATACGTTAGGCCAAATATTACATATATTTGTTTTACTAGTTAGATTCAGAATAACACTTTGCTACTACATTATATCTTTAAAGAATTAACATGCCAGAATGGACTACTTGGGGTAGTATTCTGAAATTGTAATTTACCATGCTACCCCACCTGATTACTTATTTTTAATCTCAGCTCACAAATCATGATAACCAGTGTTTTATGAACATTATTTAAAAAATAAAAGGCTAGATTTAGTGAAAAATTAAAACAATTAAGGGAAAGTCAGTGGAAAATTATTTTCCACATAAGGATTTTTATACTGTAACACACTGTTATTATCATGAAAAACATCACACATTTTTAGAGCAAATCATACATATTTTTTTTTTTGGTTTTTGGAACCAATCATAACCAGTTAGTGGTTTCATGCCTACAGTATTTAGTTTTTAAAAAATGGTATTTTTACTGTGTCATACAATTGAATAAATAATTTAGAATCATACGATCTTATTGCTGAAATGGTTCTTAAATATTATCTAGTAACCATTCATGCTAAAAATGGATCTACCATGCAGGGAAACTTCTGTAAACAGTAAGCAAAACCCCTGGAATTAAAAAGCCACATGTGTGCTGCATTTTTGAATCGTGACAGATGTCATTCTGTTCATTCAGGAGAGCAGCTTGTAGGTACCTTAAGATGTGTGTTCTCTCTTCAGCTGAGCTGAGAAAAAAAAAAAATGCTTGTAGTATATTTAAAGTGTAATGGCACTCATTTTCAAAATAAAAAATGAGCCGGGTATAGGTGGCTCATGCCTGTAATTCTATCTACTCAGGAGGCAAAGATCATGAGGATCATGGTTCAAAGCCAGCTCCAGCAAATAGTTTGCTAGACCCTATCTTGAAAATATCCAACACAAAAAAGGGATAGCAAAGTGGCTCAAATGCTAAGAGTGCTTGCCTAGCAAGCTCAAAGCCCTGAGTTCAAACTCTAGTGCTACCAATAAATAAATAAATAAAAAGTGAAATTAAAATTTGACTAAAGGTACCAGTATATGTTATTTAAAAAACTGGACGAGGATAAAATAGAAGAGTAGAAGAGACTAAATTTCACGAGCACACAAGGATAGCTTTAGTTCATTTTACACACCTGTTCACAGAATTCTCTCAGCCACACAAACACAAATGCACAAGTGCAGCCAGGCACTGGTGGCTCACACCTGTAATCCTGGCTACTTGGGAGGCAGAGATTGGGAGGATGGTGGTTTGAAGCCAGCCCAGACAAATAGTTTGAGAGACCCTATCTTAGAAATACTCAACACAAAAAAGGGCTGATGGAGTGGCTCAAAGTGCCTGTCTTGCAAGCATGAGGCCAGTTGAGTGCAAACTCTGGTACCACCAAAAAAACAAAAACAAAAACAAAAAACTGAAAGAGAATAAATATATGACAGACATTACTTTCTCAAGAGATCTGTAATGTTGCAGAGTGAGGAAGACAAAAAGTTCTTCAAGTTACCGCATTAGGAAGATATCATGTTTACTAAGGCTGAAAGAGTCATGCACTTGTCCTATAATATGAGTGAGAACGAAATGGAAAGCAAGGCTCTGCTGCCTGACCTTCAGGAGTTCAGTCTTATTATCCTATTAACTACAGTAAAGGCAACATAAAGCCAGAACTGGACGTACAACACACTATAAGCAAACAAAGGATCTCCAAATAACCCACTATCATGGTGTTTGCTACTTCTTCAAGGACTTAATGCTGTGAGTCTTAACTCGAGGCCAGAGTGTAGCAGATAACGTGACAGCTACTTCAACCATTTTAGCTGTAGACCCAAATGGTAAAGGAAGTATTACTAAATGCCTGAGTTCTGAGTCCTCGGCTTCCACTTTAATCCACACTGCAATTTCCTACACAGGCCTGCTGCCTCTAGTCTAATGTTATAATAGCTCAGGTGTGACTGTAACCAGCCATCACCAACCATTGAGGGAGCACTGGCAGCTATGACCACAGACTACTCAGTACCTCACTCAGGTGTCACTGCTAACACAAGACATTTCATTTTCTATTATGAAATACATGATAGATTAAATATGAGCTTCCAGTCAATATAAAAACTGTGTGTAGAAAATAAATCCATACTCAGGAGGCAGGGATCAGGAGAATCATGGTTCAAAACCAGCCTGGGCAAATAGTTTGAGAGACCCTATCTCGAAAAAACCCATAACAAAAAAGGCTGATAGAGTGGTTCAAGGTGTAGGCCCCGAGTTCAAGCCCCAATACCAAAAAAAAAAAAAAAAAAAAAGAGAGAGAGATAAAAAGTCCAGCAATAAGCAACATATTGTTAAAACAACCTATTTCTAAAAATGTAAGGAAAAGAAAATGAAAACACAACCCCAAACAAATCTTCCCTGTTAATTGCTTCTACCTCAGAGAACAAATGCTTTTTTTAAGTCACTGCTTCCCCCTCCCCTCAAAACAAAATTCCATTTAAAAATAGATTTTTACTGACCTCAGTGTGGTGGGGCACACTTGTAATCTCAGCACTTGGGAGGATGAGGCAGGAGGACTGCAAGTTCTAGGCCAGCTTGGGCTACACAGTGAGACTGTGTGTAAAAACTAAAAAATCAAAAAATTAATTACTAAGACTTGGGTCAAAATCGAATTTTCATTAACTTTAGGAAAAATGAAGCAATGTAACTAAATTGGTAATGGTCCATGGAACTCAGCATTACCATAGTGCCCTGAACATTTTATACATCATTTGTGTAAACAAAGAGAAAATTACATCTTTTGGCTACATTTCCTTTAAGAAACATGGAACTACTGAGTGCCAGTGGCTTATGCCTGTAATCCTAGAAACTCAGGAGGCAGAGATCAGGAAGATCAAGGTTCAAAACCAGCCCAAGCAAATAGTGTGAGAGACCCTATCTTGGGGGGGTGGGGGAGGGGGAAGAAATCCTTCACAAAAAAGGCCTGGTGGAGTGGCTCAAGGTGTAAGCCGTGGGTTTAAGCCCCAGTGCTGCCAAAAAAAAAAAAAAAAAAGAAGGAAACATGGAACCTAAGGTATTGAGTGAATGTGTCATTTTATTATCTTTTGTTTAAAATTTTTCCTCTCATGCTCCCAATGTGAGGTAAAATACTAGACAACATGTCCTACAACATAAAACCTCATACTGTAAATTACAGCTTAATAAATGTTTCAACGGGGCTAACCACTGGGTAAAGACAAAACACTACCTTTAGAATCATAGGCTTGGCTCACAAGCACTAGTTCTTAACATGTTGCTTTGTGTTTTCCTGGATAAGAAAAAGTTCATCTTAACACAGAAAAAAATGACTTTTTTAAACAGAAAAAAAGTCAAAACTTATGATTTTTCAGGAAAGGAAAGAAAATCGGGGAACAATGTTTTTCTATTTCTTATCAATTTTCTTTTTTTTGTGTGCAGTACTGGGGCTTAAACTCAGGGCCTACACCTTAAGCCATTCCACCAGTCCTTTTGTTGTGAAGGGTTTTTTTGAGATAGGGTCTTGTGGAACTATTTGCCTGGGCTGGCTTCGAACTGTGATCCTCCTGATCTCTGCCTCTTGAGTAGCTAGGATTACAGATGTGAGCCTCCGACACCTGGCTTCTTATCAATTCTTAGTATTTTATTTGGAATGTAGCACCATGCTGAACTAGAAAAAAACATATCAACTGAACACAATCTTTTGCATGCATCCTAATGCATGCAAAGTGTTTCTGGCCATTAGAAAAGTTTAAATACAGTAAATGAAAA